ACACACACACACACACACACACACACACACAGAGTATATACACTATATATATATTTATATAGGTTTATTTGTTTATATACATGACACAGTTTCTCCCTGCCCCACAGCCAAGAAATTGTGCTTAATTCTGCTAAGACTATGGCTCCATCACAGAGTTAACCTGGGATCTGATTGTGTTTTTCCTTTAATTTTCCTGCCATCTGTGTAGAAGGACTGGTGCCCCTAGCTTTGAGAAATGTGTTCTAGAAAGTGGGATCAATTTTACCTCTCCTGGAGCCTGCTAGTTTGCAGTGAGGGTGCAGGCTAGATCACTCGAGTACTGACAGTCCTTTAATGACCTTCCCACAATTCCCTCTGAAGGACAGATGAGTTCTTCTGCAGTTGATACAACTGCCTGGGAAAGTATTCTGGAGTGCTCAGCACAAAGAACCATGGGATATGACTCCAGACATGTATGAGCCAGTGCAGTGACAGTGAGAATTCAGTAACACAGACACAACTTTGCAGTGGGGAAGTTCATATTTGGGCTAAGCTTGCCCTGGTCCTGAGACATGGGTTCCATAATAATTGTACAACACAGATATAACCCATATGCAGAGCACCTGCTACCATGAAATTGATTCTTTGTGGGGAGGGTCTTCTAATTTAACAGCAGATACAGATTCCCTTCCACCTTTTCAGAGACTGTCAGAAAATCCTCCCACAGAAGATGCTAACAGCAGCAAGTCACAATTTGCCGTGGAATTTTTTTGGGAGGAACTTCTGGTTCTGGCAGCACCCTGCATCCCAAACACTCAAGCAGTGGTTCTCAAACTTTTTTTTTTTTGTGGACCACTTGAAAATTGCTGAGAGTCTCAGCAGACCATTTAATAAACTTTTTTTGTTCTACAAATCAAAGCACACAACTTGTATTTTAATATCAGGTTGCGGCAGGACTCTGGAAAGGAACATACAAAAAGAAAGTTTTGAAGCCAATTGGTAGCCTGGATTCACTGGCATTATCTGTTGCTTTAAAGTGCACTGCTGAATCTTGATTAATATATATTAATATAAATAATGATTATTATACTATTAATAAATAATTACACAATTTAATTTATTATTAAATTTAATTAATAGTTTACATGAAATTAATATACTTTTGTATAATGTATGGGGTTATTAGCAAAGACAGTTCAGCTTTATGTGTGTGTTGTGTGCGTGTGAATGTATATGTATATATGTGTGTAAAATGTGTATGTGTGTGTGTATATATATGCGTGTGTGTGAATTGTCTTTGTTAATAACCCCATAGGTTATACAAAAGCAAGTTAAATTTTGAAAGCTTGCCCCATTTTTTCCCATTTATGCTTTTGGTAGCTTTTTTTTCTCACTTTCACTCATCTGTCTAGTGGAAGAGATATGGCTTCTGCTTCTTATGCTGTAGGCTAGCTCATGGGATAGTATCTGGTTTGCATGGGTTGTGAGGTCCCCCCCCACCCAACAATGAATCCATGAGCATTTTTATCCCCAACTTATTTTTATGGCAATAGTTCTCAGATTCTTAACCCTAGGACAGCAAGGCGGAGCAGGAGGTTGATCAGTCTATGTTGGCAGAATCTCTCAGGTGCTAAACTGTTTAATATAGATAGCCTCTTTTTAAGGTTAAGGTCACCCTGAAGGTGAACAGGGAGAAGGAGGCAGTGCAGACAAGACAGGGAAAGAGATGAGAGACAAACTGCAGTGGCAGGCAGGGAGGAGGGAGGACTTTTCTCCTCAAGGAGAAATGCCAGTAATCAATCCTGGCCTTCCAGGCTGCATTTCTCCTCCCTGAGCCACTTGCTCTTTTAATAGGTGCTTGTGCTTTCTGACACTTCAGAGTCCCAGAGAGAAGCTCCTCCCCACTTGTACACATTGCCAGCAGCGCTGTGACACTGTTAGCTCTGTGTGACCTAGAATTAACTTTCAACAATTAACCGTAGGCCCTGAGCTCAAAGCCTTGCAGCTTTTTTTGTGGCAAAGCAACCTTTATGCCAGTTTGTCACAGGTTCAGGGCACTCCAGAAATGCTTACCAGAGACCATTTTTTCCATGAGGCAAGCAGTTTGTGCTTATCACACTGGGTTATCAACCTTACCATTGCAGGGCTGTGCACACACTATG